TAAAGATAGAGATTTCATGTTACCTGTCTGTTGCTTTCTATTATTTACACAGGAGAGGAGCAATTGTCACAACTTTCATAGTATGCTATGCACTTACGTCATCCATTTCTGGTTATGTTAGTGCTGGGATGTACTCACGTAATGGGGGTGAGTACTTTTTATCAGTTTAATGACTCCCCTTTCTTATTTGTTCACAAGGCTTTAGCGTGCAATATTGGTTGGTAAAGCTACCTGAGATATTTCTTTGAGTTGTAATACCATAACTTTTTTTTTCCTTAAACATCTCTTACAGTGGCTTTGGCACTTGGCTGCTTATTTCTTTGACCCTTCGTGACTTTGTTGTTATCATGACAGGTAAAAACTGGATAAAATCAATGATCTTCACCGCATCTCTTTTCCCATTTTTGTGCTTTGGGATTGGGTTCATCTTAAACACTATTGCTATATTCTATGGGTCTCTAGCAGCCATTCCCTTTGGTACGATGGTTGTGGTCTTTGTCATTTGGGCTTTCATTTCTTTTCCTTTGGCACTTCTTGGTACGGTTATTGGACGAAACTGGAGTGGTGCCCCTAACAATCCATGTCGTGTGAAAACTATTCCACGTCCTATTCCTGAGAAGAAATGGTACCTCACACCATCTGTAGTCTCCATGATGGGAGGATTGCTGCCTTTTGGTAGTATTTTCATAGAGATGTATTTTGTCTTTACATCCTTCTGGAACTACAAGGTAATTTTGCAATTCTATTTGTTTCTGAGGTTATTAAAGGTGATGTGGAGATAACTGGTAGTATAGTAGTTTGAAACTTCAGTGCATACTAGGCATTGCAACATTTAAATGGTTATTGTTTACTGGTTAGAGCACTTCATTGGAATGAGCTTGTGATGCCAAATTATTCCATACCTGTTTCAAGTTTTGAAATCAATGTAGTTGAGAATTTCAAAGACAACGGAATTATTAACACAGAGTAAACCACTTCGATTTGTTTATTATGCATGGGAAAAGACTCGTTACCTTTACTAGTTTCTGTTCTTGACTAATTGCTCCTGTACATCCTTGAGTATGAGAATCTTTTTCATGAAATTAACGGCATTTTGTTTGAAGATGAGAGTTCGGTTGTTTAATTGTTTGGTCTCTAAAGATAAGTGCCAGGTGTGTTGGCAGTGCTGATATGGTATAAGAGCTTACTAGCTTGGCCTATAACTTGTTCCTTTTTCCACAGGTGTACTATGTATATGGATTCATGCTGCTAGTTTTCCTAATCCTCATTATCGTTACTGTTTGCGTGACCATTGTGGGAACATATTTCTTGCTTAATGCTGAGAACTATCACTGGCAATGGACTTCTTTTTTCTCTGCTGCTTCAACTGCTGTCTATGTGTACTTCTACTCGATATACTACTATTATGTGAAGACCAAGATGTCCGGCTTTTTTCAAACCAGCTTCTACTTTGGATACACATTGATGTTCTGCCTTGGATTGGGAATTCTTTGCGGTGAGTTCCTACAATTACTGGCACCATCAAGTTCGTACAATAGAGTTTTCTTTTGCTTACCTGAAAAGCGTCATCTGAGTTCTGTCTGAGCAAAATGCCGATGCTCATCTAAGAGAGCCCAATTTCATGCTATACTTTTTCATGTCTATCGTTTCAATTCCGTTTTTTATGTCTATCGTTTCAAATTTGTAGGAGCTGTTGGTTACCTGGGATCCAATTTGTTCGTACGGAGGATCTATAGAAACATCAAATGTGATTAGGGGTTTTGTAGAAGCAAAAAACCTACGCTACCTTGAAGCATTTTGATAGTGGAGGCAATAACTTCGAGAAGCTGTTGACACATAGGGAAGGAGGGAGGGAGGAGGCCTAGCAACGCAGTAATACCTGTAGAAATTAAAGTTTTGAGATGGGGACATGCTCTTGTATTCTTTTTGGTAATTGATGTGTCTGTCTTCCCCCAACTGTAATTGAATATCTTGATTTAGAATTTGAGAGATTGTTTTTCATAATGTAGAAAAGTTGACAAAAATTGTTAGACTCATGTTATTTTTATGATATTTTGTCATTCACACATCAGTCAGAAATGGCCCATGCCTATTTCTATACTATAGTTTTATCATACCATGGTTGTATCCCTGTCTTAGAAGGTAGTTGAAGACTGGTATTCAAGTATTATTAAAGGATGGTTTTGAGTTTATAGAACATTTGTATTTGTTTTTTTATTTAGAAGGTTACCTGTGATGTCCCACTTTGGTTGGGGGAGAACAAAATACCATTTATAAGGATGTGGAAACCTTCCTTTAGCAGGCACGTTTTTAAGCCTTAAGGAAAAGCCTGAAAGGGAAAGTCCAAAGAGAACAATATCTGGTGGTGGATCAAGGTGAAGTTTGAAAGGGAAAACCCAAAGAGAATAATATCTGCTAGTGGTGGGTGGATCTGGGCTGTTACGAATGGTATCAGAGCCAGACATTGGACGATGTGCTACCCTTCTCGCTGCTCTCCAAAGGAGGGCAGACATGAGGCGGTGTGCCATCAAGGGCACTGGGTCCCGAATGGGAATGGATTTGGTGGCCGTTCCACATCGTTTGGAAAAAAGGAAAGAGTGCCAGCAAGGATGTTGGGCCTCGAAGGGGGGGGG